GAGCGCGCTCAGAAAACCACGTCCACCATGCTTTCGCGGCAAGTACAGCCTCATTACCGACGATCTCGGATGATGCATCCTATGGGACGTCATTGTAGTGCGGACTTTTCTATCCAGGGCGTTAAGTTCAGTCTGAGTCCACCTGAGTATGCCAAAGGTATATATGAGGACAGGCATGACCCAACCATTATATCATGTGTCTTATTCACACCGGACAAAAGGCTGTTAAGCACTTTGGTCAAGTGTGCATAAAACACGTCGCAAACTGACTGTTACATACCCAGGTATCGGTATGTTTCAGCCTCGGAAAGGGCCCTTAAGTTGACGGGCATAGATAAGTCTATGCCCTCAGAGTTAGCAACCCTTCCACTTTCAACATGGAGGACCGCACACTTATCCGTCCCCAGCTCCATTCTAATAGAATTGCTAAATTCACAAGTGATGTTTAGCAGTTCCATAAGATGGGAGCGACTGGAGGCGAATAACTTGAGGTCATCCATATAGAAAAGGTGGGTTACTTTTGCACCTTCTTTCCGAAGCTGAAATCCCCTCCCGGAGCCCTCCAGTAAAGTACTGAGAGGGTTCAAAGAGAGGCAGAACCAGATTGGACTCAGACAGTCGCCCTGGCATATACTCCTTCTTATCCTTATGCGGCTTTCCGCAGCCGTCATCCGCTCGCCTAGATGACAGAGGATCGTACTCCACTGCCCCATACACTGCTCGAGGAAGTCGAGTCGAGCTGTACAGTCAATCTTGTACAGCTCGAGGACCCTCTTTAGCCATGTATGGGGCAGCGAGTCAAATGCCTTTCTGTAATCTATCCAGGCGGCGGAGAAGTTCCGACGGTTGCGTTTCACCACTTTGCCAATGACCGCGTCAATAAAGAGTGGTTCCTTGGTTCCACGACCGCCGCCCCGACTTCCATTTTGAGCGTGCGACATCACCCGATTAGAGTCCAGGTGACGAGCGATTCTCGCGCTCAAAATGGATGTTAGTGTCTTGTATATGGTCGGTAGACACGTGATGGGGCGATATCTGCTCGGGTCTGTGGCATCCTGATCTTTAGGAACCAAATGAGTGATCCCAGTAGTGAAGAGGCTTGGGAGCGACTTCTGGTTGACAGCCTCTTGAAACTGTCGGGCGAGCATAGTGTGACACACCATGAACCCCTTCAGCCAGTAGTGATGCAGCCCGTCAAGCCCCGGACTTTTCCAGTTCGGGGCCCTACGGACCGCCTCAGCTACGTCATCCGGCGTTATGATGACGGGGTCCATGGGCGTAATACCCGCACACTGACTCGCCACAACTTCCATCCAAGGGCCCTCGCTGTGGTTTACGGGCTCTGACCACAGGCCGCGCCAGAATGCTACAGTGTCGGCCTGATTCGGTGCTGGACCCGTTCCACTTACCATTGGTCGCTCCAATGATTCATAGAGCCTTTTCTAATCACTCTGGAAGAGATGATTCTGGTTGAACCGTGTCGACCTCTCGGTATATCGCTGAATCCGCTTTCCCCAAGCAGCGATTCTCTGCTTCAGATCATCTATGCGCTCCGTCAGTTTTTGCGTTATATCCGGCTGGGACAAACCGACATTTGTCCCAGCAAACGCCATCCTGACGGTGCGCACAATTCTTGGCCTGTTGTTGCCTGATCTGAAGCATATCAGTCTGCCGATGAGAGCTCTAGCCTTTGCGATACGTTCCTCAATTCTTCTTCTCCATGCTGGGATAGCGCTACTATGACCAGTAGCGCGTCCAGCCGTGGAAACCTTGGCGCCTATGATACGGCAGACTGCCAGCGCGGCGCCAAAAAGAATTGAGTCCGTCTCGCAAAGGTTGTGCCTACATTATGTTTAATCAATATTTAATCAGTATCAATTTGTGTATCATAATAAACACACGTATATCGGGCTCCTGAAGTTTTATTGATACTCTCCAATTAGTACGCAACCATACGTGTACGTGTACAGTGGTGACCCCGATCTCAAAGACAAAGGAAAGAAGAACCACAATGACTTCGCAGCAAGACGGCCAAAATAAAGCAAGTACTAGCGGGTCAGCAGAAGTAGCAGTTGTTAGTGTTTCCTCGAGGATACCCAAATTTTGGGCCGATCAGCCGCGGCTCTGGTTCATCCAGTGCGAAGCTGTCCTTGCACCGCAGAAGATGAGCGATGAAGCGGGATACAACATGGTAGTCACTAAATTGGGGAAGGATGTAATCCAGCAAGTCAGTGACATTCTTATCAAGCCGCCCGAGGGAAGGAAATTCGATACTTTGAGCGATTGTTAAAGGTCTACGAAGAGTCCGAGATTCGACAGTTTCAAAATCTTTCGAGTGAGATGGAGTTGGGAGATCAAAAACCCTCTCAACTCCTTAGGCGGATGAGGGAATTGGCTCGAGAAAAGATACCCGACGAAACACTTCGGATAATGTGGCAAGGTCATCTGCCGTCGTATTAGCAGTGTGTGAAGTAAAAGACCTGGAGCATTTATCAGCAATCGCGAACAAGGTTGTGGAGACTGCGCGACCCTTACAAGTGACAGAAGTGCAAGCTACACAAAGTAGTACGAACACAGAGACTGCGTTAATTCTGGGGGAGATTGCCAAATTAAGTCTAAAAATCAGGGATTTGGAGAGAGATAGACATCGTGATTATCGTAGAAATAATTATCAATATCGCTCCAGATCGCGATCTAACTCACGCGGCCGTACTCGTAATATGACACGGCGCTCACCTGATAGTCCGGACTGGCTGTTTAGTTATCATTATAAATATCACCATAGAGCTACGAAATGTGTAGAACCGTTGCCTGGCCTAAAACAGACAAGAAGGAAAACTAGATCTGGTGCAATCGCAGGTGGAGATTTGCACCATAGCTCCTGTTCCCCGATTATGTATCACGGACAATAGCAGTGGACTCCGATTTTTAGTGGACGCTGGTGCGAACATTTCAGTGCTGCTGGTGAATAAAAATCGCGTATCAAGTGCAAAATGTGAAGACTATAAACTGTACGCTGCGAACGGGAGTGAAATTAAGACTTTTGGTGTTAAAACTTTGGACTTAGACCTTAAGTTACGACGACCATTGCGTTGGTCATTTGTGGTGGCAGACGTCAAGCAACCAATACTCGGTGCTGATTTCTTAGCCCATTATAAACTATTAGTGGATGTGAACAATAAAAAACTTATCGACTCAGTGACTAGTCTAAAAACTATTGCGTCTGTGACGGTGCAAAATGAACCGTCCGTGAGAACAATTGACTGTATGAATGAATATAGCGATATATTAGGCGAATTTCCTAACGTAACGAAGCCAATGTGTTATAAGGAGCTTCCTTGTCACTCGGTGGTACATCGTATAGAGACTTCGGGCCCCGCTGTATTCGCACGTCCAAGGCCTTTACCACCCGATAAATACTATAAGGTTAAAGCTGAGTTCCAACGCATGCAAGAGATGGGAATATGTAGACCCTCTAAGAGCAACTGGGCGAGTCCTCTTCATGTCGTTACGAAAAAGAACGGCGAGCTAAGACCGTGCGACGATTATCGAGCATTGAACGCGATCAGCAAGCCGGATCGATATCCGATACCGCGCATCCAAGATTGTAGTTATTTATTGCACGGGAAAAGTATATTTACGAAAATTGATATTCAACGGGCCTACCATAACATTCCTATACATAAAGACGACATTCCGAAGACGGCTATATAACAACGCCATTCGGTTTGTTTGAATTTTTACGCCTTGGTTTCGGGTTCCGTACGGCGGCGCAAACATTTCAACGTTTCATGCAAGACGAAGTGTTACGGAATCTTAACTTTGTATTTATATATATTGACGACGTTATTATAGCGTCATCAACGAAAAATGAGCATAGGCAACACATAAGAGAGGTATTACAGAGATTGGATAAATATGGTATTACAATAAATTTAGCAAAGTGCGAATTTGGCAAGACTGAAATAGATTTTTTGGGATTCCGGATGTCAAAGGAAGCCATGAAGCCATTGGACGATCAAGTCAAGGTCATTTCTGAATATCCAAGGCCAAAGACAGTGGAAGAACTTCGTCGTTTTCTCGGAATGATCAACTTTTATAGAAGACGTTTACCGAAGGCCGCCGGAATCCAAGCGAAATTAAACGTATTTCTCCATAATTGTAAAAAGAAAGACAAGAGTTCGATTCCATGGACGGATGAAAGTATTGAGGCGTTTGAACAGTGTAAACAAAGCCTTAAAAGCGCAGTTACACTGTCATTCCCGTCGCCGGATGCACCGATTGCTCTCATGACGGACTGCTCCAGCACATGTGCAGGTGCTGTGTTGCAGCAAAAAAGAAGGCGAGGCATGGTACTGTGAAATTTTACGGAACTGCGTAGTATCTATTCCTTTACTATCATAATTCAATGGAAAGATAACCCGACACAACTGGAGAGATCATGGCTGGACCTGCGGTCTTACGCGCTTTCCGAGTCACGGGAGTAAAACATCGCGAAGTTCATAAACCCGGGCTCCCTTAAGAATTTTTTGTCTAATATCCTCCTATGTATGAGGTTGTATGATGATGTTTAGTAAGTATGCAATATGTACTTATGCAACTATCATGACATATAAAAGTCCACTTCAGAACATAAGCTTTCCCTTAGTCTTGAATAAGTGCGATATATGCAATGGTTGCCGCAGGAGGGTTGGCAAAGCGCAGTTTGAAGACGATGCCGCGCATCCTCTGGTTTTTTTCTTTAATCGCCTCTGTCTCCGTCGTCTCAGTAGAGACTTTATATAGTGCACACGAATGTGTGCGCAATTGTGAATAAGAATGCGCTCGCGGTCCCTCACTGTCTTGGTCCGATGGGACGAAATCTGACACGTCAGGAGCTCTCTCTATTTGATCATGCACCTGACGGAGATCAGGCTCATGAAGAATGGCTACGTGCATTCAGAGCCATGGGGATGAATCACCTCCAATTTCCTTAGTTTAAGATGTTACCGGGACTGCATGTCCTGCAGTCGCACTTAAATCCAAGAGGTAACAATTAGAATTATGTCTGAATCTACTTCTTGTTTATACGTTTATTACAGAGACTATAATATTATCACCATATCGTTTTTTGAACTCTGTTAAAAAGAGATTATCTGTTATTTAACAGAGTTCAAAAAGCTGTTCCCATCACTCCCTTTTCATATAATGACAGCATTTAAACAAAGCTCAGGCATTACGCGATACCTATCAGTTTAAAATCAAAAGTATATTTCTAATTCGAGTTAAACGATTTGTCGATTTAATTTATTGGTTACTTTGTGACTATCATAGTTATATTACTGATCCTTACCCATGCGGGCATTTAGTATTTAAAAATTATAAATGCGCTTTTTTCGTTAACAATTGTGTGTTAGTCAGTATGTGTGAGTAAGTGTTTGTGGGTATGCGTGTGAATGTGCATGTGCTAGTATGTGTGCTTATGCGGGTGTGTGCGCGCACGCACTGGCGTGTATGTGTGTGTGTGTGTGTGTGTGTGTGTGTGTGTGTGTGTGTGTGTGTGTGTGTGTGTGTGTGTGTGTGTGTGCGTGTGTGTGTGTGTATCTGTATGCCTTCCATCTTAGTCTTAATGGCGACAATGCATCTGCATTATGAATCTTAGATCTAGATATTGAGGAATTTATGGATGATAATGTAATGTGTGTAATAAATTAAATCTTTATTAACACACTACAGTAAACTAATTACAGCAAGAATTGTGTCCTCACCAGAATGGTTAGAATTTTTAATAGTAAATTTTCTCATTTTGATACATTTATCCATCAAAAAATTTATTTAAGCAAAAGGTAGTACAGGCTCTGACACTTAACCTTTATTGTTTATGTTGGTAGCCTTTTGTATTTTTATAAATCCGTAGTAGCATCTTAATTAATATGTCTTCAATTCTTTAATTCACACAAAAATAATTTAATGTGATATATGTGTGTGAGTGTGTACGTGAGTATATTGTATATATGTATATTTATTTATTTATATGTTAGTATATGTTTATACTTACCTATATGTATAAGTGTTTAAAATTTAAATAACCATATTTTATACATTTATGTATACATAAGTATGTGTATGTGTGTGTTTATATATGTAATTATTATCTCATTCAAGCATAAATATTTTCCTAGGTCAGCCATGACAAATTATTTAAATTAAGTATTGTTTTGTTGACAATTATTGGCCCTATGTAAGCAAACATATTATATAAGATTTTTTTCACAGAGTGAAAGCTGTTGTTATCCCTAATGAAATAAATAATAACCACTGGGAATGTAGTGGTCGCCACCAAGTTATTTCTAATTTATTTTGTGTTGCTAATTGTGTAACATACATAATTGTGGGCTGTTATTTAAAAACAAAGTCCTGCTGGGGTACTTGTTGGTTCTTTACAATAGAGAAGTTTTTTTCCAAACCAGTGGTAAATTAAAAACTAAGTAACTTTCCTAAGTAGTGTAAGTGACAACCGCAGCGCATGAACAACTGCAACACCAGCGGAATTGCAGATGAGTTGCCGGCCTTTTAAAAAACAGTAGGTTCTTTTTCTGGAAGTTCCCAAGTCGTATCTGTCCGGTAACATCTCTGATGGTAGTTTATTCCACAAGAAAATTGTGCGAGGAAGAAAACTTCTACTTAATCGCACAATGGTGGACTGCCAATTATTCAGATAGTATGGATGGTATCGCGAGTTTTGTCGCGACGTACGTTTGTGGAATTTGGCGGCTGGGATTAGTCCCAACAATTCCTACAGGCACTCCCCGTGATAGATGCAATAGAAAACGCAAAGAGAAGCAACAGTTATTCGCAATGACAGTGAGTTATGCTGATTTAAAAAAGCTCGATCGCCAACGATTAAAACCGTTCTGCGCTGGATGCGATCAAATGGAAAGAACTGGCACAGGGAGCCCCAGCCCAGAGATGGGAACAGTATTTCATTTGTGGTGGAACTTGCCCTTTGTAAAGGTGCAGGAGGGCATGGAATTACTGTCCCGTCCTGCTGAGCACGCCATGCGTTTTAGAGGCCAATTTGGCTTACTATTTCAAGTGACCACGAAACTGTACGTCACTCGATATGTCTACGCCGACGATTCCAATACTGGTTAAGGCAACAAGGAAAGAGCCATGAAACGAAGGAGATACGACAAAGGGTTTTTTTAGCTACTACTTGCGCAAATTTGTATTTTCTGGGAATTGAATTGGACTAGCTTTACTCGCCCTCAGTCCGATGCTTTGTTTAACAGTTTCGAATTCAGACAAAATTTTGTTCTGTTACTCGGTGACGTTTTCTCGGGAAAAAATTGGCACAGCTGGTGTATAAAGCATCACCAATGCTTAGCATTGAATGTAACCGGCTTGTAACATATCATTGATATGCAGAAGAAACAGCGTCAGTGATAGCACGCAGCCTTTTGGAACAACAGTATTAATAGGCTTGTAATCGGAGCATGCACCGTCTACGCGACCTTGATGCTCCAATCTGCAAGAAAATTGGTGACCCAATTGCACAACTTCTCAGGAAGGCAATAGAAAGGAATTTTCTAAAGAAGCAATTTGTGCCAAACCCGATCGTAAGCCTTCACTATGTCCAAATTAACGGCCAATACCTCCCACTTGGACTCCATTGGCTCCGCCCAACTATGAGTTAGGTAACCCAGAAGATCACCAGCTGAGCAACCCCGACGGTAACCGCATTAGCAGTCGTCAATCTTCAAGGTTCCTCATGAGCTGACAGTTATAAGTTGTTTCTATTATTTTCGAGAACAAGGAAGTGATAGCTATAGGCCTGTATTTGGACGGATCTGAGTGAGACATAAGACGGATCGCATGTTGCTACTGTCGCGAGAGTGTAGCGAGAGTCGAGTTGAACGCAAAGAGAGCTTAGCAGATCAGCTTTCTACTTTGCGACATGGGCCAGTGAGCCGTCCTTCCTGTGCAGAGATGGCAGAGATGACTGATAGAAGTTCTCTTAGACAACCTTGTCAAGAGACCAGAATGCACGTGTTTTCGAAGGAAGTCGAACTAGTTTCTCCCCAATTCTGTTGATGTACGTTGACATTGCCTTGACAGTGACACTTTTCAAAGACATAGAGTCGGAATTATAGTTCCTTTTGAAAGTGCTGGTGTTTGCATCCCGAGACGATGAGGTGTCAGACCACACCCGGTAGTACTACAGGTAAAATCCGAAATTCGGATTCTTTTGACCCATTAAAAATACATAAAGGAAAATATATAAAAGATAGTTTTTTTTTTCATATTTTTAAATGAAATATAAATAAAAAAATCCTATGACGTTTTACGAAAAAGTTAATTTTTAAATGTTTGAAAACCTAGTGCTTCTCACATGGTCCCATATAAATTTGATCAAGATCTGACTAGTAGTTTTAGAGTGATTCTTAATACTCGTAATGCATATTTAATTGACTTCGACTACATTGATGATGTTCTCATTTAATTTATAATGAAGTCGGTTGTACATTTTTTTTTAATTTTACTACTTGTTACTAGTAGCGAGGCAACTAAATTTTGAAAATTAATTGAGGATAGATGTGTCTGAAGGCAGTAGCATTCACTTACCATCTTATTTATATTGAAGTCGGTTGTACAAAATTTTTAATTTTACCACTTGTTTAAAACTACTTTTATTTTTGTGTATGTACGCATTATTATATACTTTAATTAATGTATTGAAAGGCCAAAGTTAATTTATCAATTTCCTTAAATTTTTGTCTGAGCAACTCTTTACGTTTTAAATCATGGATTACTCTTGTGGCCCTCTTCTGTAAAAAAATATAATTTCAGTGTCAGTTGCGTGTCCCTAATAGCAAAATACCATACGACATTATGCTATGGAAAATGCTTAGGTAAATTAGTCTAGCTGTTTCAACACTGGTAAGACTACCAGTCTTTTTACAGCATATACTGTAGAACTAAGTATGCTTGCTACTTTTGATATATGGGACTTCATTGAAGTTGAGCATCTAGTGTAATTACAAAAAAAAAAAAGTTGGTTTCGACAAGAATCAGCTCCTTCCTATTTAAAATTAAATTAGTATTTAAATGTTTGACATTTGGAGTATCAATTGCATACAGTTAGTTTTAATGCAACAGTTTTAGTGCATTTTTGTTCGTATTTTAAAAAACAATATATAAAAATTGTCCCGTTTTAAGATAACGATTCCTTGCAATTGAAAAATCAATCAATTTAAACAATACCGGTGCCAAGTTGCCACATGGCAACATGCGTTTATATCGTCAGTAAGAAAATTTGAAGAGAATAGCATAGAAAATTGAGGTGAAATAGTTTTCGGTACTCATGCATCGTTTTCTCCTGGACTAAGCGCTAACAAAGTTCTAGAAAATATATAAGCTCTCTATTACCAAGTTAAAATATATTATAAAACAAAAATTGCATAAAAGTAGTTATTATATAATTGACTACATGATTGATAATAATACCGGGGAATGAGGTGGTCACTTCCTAGCTTTTTCTAAATTAATTTGTACAACCATACATATTGTCATATTTGCTTTAAAAATCCGCCTGAGTTTCTTGCTGGTTCTTTCCTGGACAGAGGTTTTTTTTTTCTGAAACAATGATAAAATAAAAAATGATTTTCAATAAGAATTATACTACGCGACACTATTCTACTCCATTATATTTCATTTTAATCCATTCTACTCCATTCTTCTCTATCCTACTCTGTCCTACTCTATACTACTCTATTCTACTCTATTCTACTGTCTTCTACTCTGTTCTATTATATTGTTCTCCATTCTACTCTATTCTACACAATCTGCTCTATTCTATTCTATTCCATTCTATTCTATTCTATTCTATCTTATTCATAGTTTAGGTGATAAGTAAATGCTGTGATTCAGATCTATATCTATCCTCGATCACGAATTCAAATGCAGATGAGTTGTCACTTAGATTATGTAAGGACTTAAATGGAATGTCTCGATACCAATA